CGTTGCTTAGCCACGGGAAAAAATCATTAGTGAAAAAATTCAACTCAGCACTCACTGCAGTGAGTGACAGAGAGTGCATTTTCTCGTCGAAGAAAACGTGAAGTCACGGACAGACGAACGGACGGACAGACAGACGGACAGACGGTCATGGCAAGCACAATAGCGCCTTTTTTCCATAAATGAGAAAATGCGCTAAAAAGGCTTCTGACATATGAGCTGATGTTATTGAAAAGAATTAATATTCATTATTTTTGTGTCGGATAATATTTTAGCAAGATTTTCATGCTTTTTGTTTCGGCTATTTCGCTTTCGTTTCAAATCAATAGTTTACTAGATCAAGAAATTCATTTGATAGAATCATTTTCTAACTTGCGACTTGAATTTGCTTTTATTTTCAATATTTAGAATTCATTACATTGACGAGCGGAATTTTATGCATGCCTAGTTTAACAGTTGTTTCTGTTTGATGATATTTTTACTGTTATTACAATTATTTTCGCAGGGTAATTACGCAATATACTTACGCACAAACAATTAAAAACTCTTCAAGCAGGCTGTTAAAGTGATGAATAATAATCAAGTCATTTATACGTTAACTCTACAATAATTCAAGCTCAGGTAATCGGCGAGCTCGTAAATTTGCAGTCCTGGGCCTATACTTTCAAAAAAAGTTAAGAGATCGTAAGTTCATCAGCCAATCATTGACGGCCTTTCGAGCAAAATCCACCAATCATGGACAAGAAAATAGAGCGTAAGTACTTACGTTCACTTAGCGCGTTTTGAAAGTATGGCCCCTGCAGCTGTCTTTCGCTATTACCTTGACAATCAATGACATGAATAAAATGCAGCAGTGAAGCGAATTTACTTGATACCGGATAAACTCGGGCCTGGCTGTTTCGTTGGCTGCGATGTTCCATCAGCCGAGCAATAAACTATTCCATGTAAAAAAACTCATCCACAAATTAATATTTTTGGCCAAGCTCGGCCACTTCGGACGCTCAGAGACGGCTATGAGAGCAGCTGGGTTGCTAGTGAAGCGTGGCTTTGAAATATACTCGATGTGCTCATCAAAAGCGTTCTATACTCTAATTGATCAGCACCCAATATCTGGTGTTTAACTTCAACTCCAACTACCAATGTGTTCCAACTTTGCGCTAAAACTAATTAGTTTTTTTGAAATTTTCGAATTCTCTGAGCTATGTAGAACATGAAAAAAAGATTTCCCAATAGACTCGCATTTCATTTTGTTAGAGAAATCAGACTCATCCATGTTTCTAATTTAGATCCTAAATTAATCGTATCAAATTTAAAATTTGTAACGATGTACAACATTTGCAGGTCAACCTGATGTTGCATTAATTATTATTGGGCTAGCCCGGAACTACTTCAATATTCCATTAATCAAAAAATAAGCGAGATATTGGATTTTAATATTGGAATTAATTTTTGGAGCGTATCCAGCGCATTTATTTTGTGCAATATTTATTTTAACTTTTAGATCTTGTTCACGTTCGAATGACTTTTGCAATATCCCTGCACGGAAGGTATTTAGAATACACGCTCGAATCGCTCTCTTGTGTTTTCAAAACTAGAAATTTCATTCAACCTATGAATCAGTGGGGATGGAAATGAATGACCAAAATACGAAATTTTCTAAAAAATGGGTCAAAAATTTTTGCAGTGTAATGGTTGAAAATAGGTTGAAAATAAATTGAAAACTAATGAATAGGAAAAGATTGAATTTGGCGATGGCACCTTGTCCCAACAGGTTATTTATAATTTATAAGAAGTTTTCACAAATAGCTTAAAGAGTTAATAGTAACCGAATTAACTATTTTCAATTTTCCTCAATTGTAATCTAAAAGCAGCTGAGCAATACGAAAATTGACGTTTTAGTGAGACTTTGCATTAATGAATCTCTAAAATTCAATCTACCTCATTTCTGGCGATGAATTGTACATTTCAACTACAGTTTAGAGGCGTCGTTAGCTTTCATACTTTTTCATTATTTCTTGTTATAAATTTGACATTTTAAATAAAATTTAAGAATTCACTAGAACTTCCAATTATCGTCATTTTTGCCTATAAATTTTACCTTCTCACCTACAGTATTGGGGAGTAATTAGACCTCGCAATTATTATTATTTTAAGCAGCGAATTGACCATTAATAATTGTAAAGGTTGAGCATTAAATCGTAAATTGTCCATTGATTGTAACCAGAACTCACATAGTGCGGTATCAAGCCTTCACATTGTAGCATTGGTACGAGAATATTCTGATAAAATAATTTGCTATCTCAACGGACTTCTCAATCATCGTTCTGCTACACTGAACTTTTAACGCCGTTTTTTTGCCTTTTGAGTGAAACTCGAAATTTCCCCCGCGTCCAAATTCATTTCCCTTGAGGGAAGCGCAGCTCAAGCAACTTTCAAACAAATAAAAAACACTTTTACTTCTAGCGAACTTTCGTCCAGACTGGCATTTTAGGGAAATGTGATAACGATGAAACTCGGTTTGTTATTGCCTTTACTCGTGGAGATGTCAATAAAATCAAAGAAGTGCTCTCTAAAAGTTATTTCGCTGACTTTGAGACACCTGCTGCAAGGTTCCGTAGCCTTATTTAAACTCGTAGGCTAAAACTCGACGTGTTGATGCGATAAATTATAACGTAAAATGATACTTAGCTGATTAAATTTCTCTGTGGTATCTTTGTTTTCAAAAGAATTATAGGTGCCGATTAAGATTTCAAATTATTCAATTATTCGAGAAATGAGCTCAGTACGATTTAGAAGATAATTAGTTTTATAATTCTCTACCAATTAGCTAATATTACAGCCGTATTAAGGAAAAACATTGTCAACTTTCTGATCACTTCTTTACTGAACGGATGATCTGTGATGCAAGCAAATTTCCTGATAGGCTATCTGCAAAATTTGGACTTCAAAAGCCAGTGATGTGTTTTTATGCCAGACTCACCAAGTGATAAATTCTCACCAATTTTCCGTGCAGGTCAAGCTCATAAATTTCACCTGCCGCTCGTGTCTGGTTTGAGTATAAATTTGTTGCAATTTTCCGTCTGGGTCGAATTCACGAATTGAGCGCGGTGATCAGATATTCTATCACTATAAATGTTCTGCCATCTTTTGTGAGGGTAGAGGTCATAAATTTCACGATCCGAGACCAAAATAATTTCTTTGACATGAGCCGCCTTCCTAAATTTGGACCTGTAAAATAACAATATTTATTCCTAGCATCGTCTGATGAAAGGACCGACACATAAATGTGGAAGCTAACATAAGGTATTTGTTAGATTTTGTTTTTTGGATTAATTTCTGTTCTGATTTTAGCGACTCGGATCACAAGGAATAAGTCTGTATTTCATTGACAAGTGGCAAATTCTTATTTGATTAAATTCAACCATACTCATTTTTTATTAAATAAGAAATTTTTTACACGAATACCACAGTGACTATATATATACTTAATTTCATTATAGAGCTCAAAAAGTTGAAACGTACGGAACTGGTCGAATATTTTTCAACTTGGCAGAAAACCTCTGAAAATATTAGTTTAAATATTCTAATGTCACTCCACCTAGGATGGCTACGAAATTACTCTTTCTGCCCCATGAAATTAATCAAAATTTGAAGCCGTCCAAGTTTCAACACAACGTTCAAATCCAACTTCCATTTGAGTTTATACCGTTTCAAGAAATACTGGGGCCTATTTAGAGGCCATGATTGCAACTCTGCACTTAACAGTATAAAGGAAATGGCATGCCGGCCGAATGCCGGCCTATAAACGCGAATATAAGCGCCAGGTTCTTGCCGAGAGACATTTTCGGACTGAAACTGTTTTACTTCGACTTCTTGCGAATTCATTCCAAGGAAAGGCAGCGATGCGAACACTGCGAGGTATTACTGTTAGTATCTATTAGCTGAAGTTTTTAGATCTAAATTTGTGAGGGAGCGTTTCTAATTCGGAGATTATCATCTCTCAGCACGTAATATCTCAATTATTATCTAAAAGTAGCAAAGGCACTGTTAGGTGTAACTTAAACATTCTGAGGAACTCATAGAATGAATTTTAATTTGTGCAACTGGCCACTATTATAATTTTTTTTTTGTACCTCCAATCTCTACAGTCCAGAAAACATTCAGGCGTGAACATAATATGTCCAGTTAACTGTTAATCTCACTCTTCCGAAGAGTGTTAGTCATCAGTGTCCATAAAATGGTTGATGCTAGGCTGTCAAAGAGTTTAATTTGACACTCAAGAGGCTATTGATGAGTTTCAATGCACGTCGCAACATACGACGCATGTCTCCTCAATCTAGTCAGCAGCGAGCACGTAACCCAAGAGTCGAGCTGCTCTCGACGCTGCAATATCGTTTGATTTATAGTCAAGTGCTGCTGTTAATGTCATCTTCATGCTGGCGAGGTATGGCCTCTCTGTTATAACTGTAACTGGCATAAGTGTAGCTGTTATAACTGCTACTGTAAAAATGGTAACTGTAACTGTAATAGCGGTAATTGTTATAAGTGTAACTGATGTAACTGTAATGTAAATGATGTAATGATAACTGTAATAACAGCAACTGTTATAATGGTAACTGCTATTACGGTACCTGTTAGAATAGTAACTGTTATAATGGCAACTGATATATTGGAAACTGTAATTACGGCAACTGTTAGAATGGTAACTGTATACTGGTACCCGAAGTAAAAATAAAATTATTGAATGCTAATAACTGAATTACCCGTTCAAATCCAGGTTTTACATTAAAACTATAATTTGGTTCTTGTTTAAATAAATGAAAAAACTATTTGACGAGTTGAAAGCAAATTTTTAATACCAGAATTCAAAAATCAACTTCCGATTTTTATTTTGGGTACGCGCTGTAGCGGTCCGACTTTCTGTCGTTCGCGCTCTTCTTCTTTCTTTCCGACGCATTACTCGGAGCTGAAATTGGACATGAGCCGGGGTTGGCTCACTCTCGATGGAGCCGCCTGCCTGGACGGGAGCAGTTCTTATATTTTGGTTGATTCGTTCGTCGGCCATGGACGGGTGCGGCTGCAGGCAATCGGAGCTAAAGTGCCAGTCTCAAGACGGTAACGCTTCCGGCACTGTACGTCGCCAGGACTTGGTCGGTGATTTGAACATTTCCCTCCCACTCGTCGAACAGCGTAGCAGGAAGCTGCAACTTGTTGGCAACGTTGGACAAGAGCCCCGTTGTAATCTCGGCAAGCACTGCGCTCCTCCGCTAGATTCCCACACCTTGATTGGATTTGACTTGTCTATTTTCGCTGAACTGACTTCCTCTCGGCGACAGCACAGATGATCTTGCGGATGGACCCAGCCAGATTTAATGTTCTTCAATGTTTAACTATTGGTTTACCGTCTGATAGCTACCTAAGCTTATTACTGATGTACTTCTCATGGATTCGCTTGTTCATTTTTATACATTATTCACTAAATATATAGTTCATGCTTTCATTTATATAATTTGTTCATTCTTTCTAACTATCCCGTTGGGGTAGCCCATATGTGTTGCCTCCTCTCCCGCAACAGCGCTACGCCATGATGCTAACATTCAACCATGATACGAATATTAATCTTTGATAAGAACATTCAATTTAGATAGGCTCGAACAGCTCCCATGAATCCCTTTAACGTCCAGCTTTCCGTATTGTATATCATGAATACCTTTCGGAAAAAAATTCAAGATTATGTACGAGGTTAGATTCCATTCTAATAAAGTATAAAATTAAAAAGTATCGTGCAAGGGCTAATTGGATCGAAGAAACTAATGCTTCATTACCTCGCCGTACAATTATATATATTCTCGCAAGTGGAATCCGCATTCAAGTCTTAGTCAAAGACTGAACACCTGTGTCACCATCAATACCCTAGCTTGTCTAGTAATTAACCGGTTTATAATGATCAGGATATAGATGAACAATTGGATTTCAGAAGTAACTTACTATATAATTCTTAACTGGCTTTAAAAACTTTAATATAACCTTGGCAAAGGTGGTTAAATAACAAATTCACTAATTTCCAGATTCCACCCATGATCATGAACACATCGTGCTGCTAACGACTAGAGTCGGGTTTATCCGTGAAATTAATTCTATTTACGCGCAGTTCTTCAAATAAAGCCACATCAGAAGCGGTATATATTTCCAAAGAGCGCGAATAAAAGCTGTGATGATAGAATCCCAACAACTTTTCATGAGGCGTCGAGCATCAAAAGTTGGTCCAACTTCGGGAAATGAAACATTTCTGAATCATGAACCGACAATGGAAAATCACTTCTATTGTCGACATCAAAAAAATAGTTATTCTCCGTTAGAAGTTACTCTGTATTCAAGCATTGAACTTGGTCCTTATAAAGAAGTAATTTTATATGTGAGGACCGAAAAACAATTTAACATTACAGTGAATTTAGAACGATTGAGTTTATACAAAATGCAGCATGAACGAATATTTTCAGTGCTCATGGATAATCTACCCTGCTAAAAAATAAGGATGGCACATCGATGGTTGCATGCTGGAGTGGTGGATTATAGGTGGAGGAACGATGGGTTGCCACGTCTGGCCAAAATCGACGGGAAAACACCATTAAATCAAGAGGCTTTTAGACAAAGATACTTTTGCTTCACGAACACAATTTCAACACTAAAACCTATTAATTAAGGTTGTCAAGACTATACCAGATATTGTTTGCAACAACAATTTTAACCATCCTTATTACGGCATTCGTTCCGAAACTTTTCTGACATAAGTAAATATAGAAGAAATGAAATTACTTTTTAAATCCGCTTGTTTATTTATTTGACAAAATATTTGCACAATATGTGGTGAATTTATTTATTTATATTTCCTTTTTTGTAACATCCTATAAAAAGAATTCAATTTGCTCTGGAGTTATCTAATAACGACGGCTCTAACTGGGTGAGAATAGATGACCCTTTAATTACAAAATTTTCGGCAAGCGTTGGCTTCTGCATTCGAGGATATTGTGTATCTTCTCACGATATAATTGTGTTAGATTTGCGAGCGTCTCGGAGCGCAATTATCAGAAGCTGTAATCGAGGCCAAAGCTGTGCAGCTAATCAGAAGCTGCGCGCCTAAGCAAACGAGAACATAAAGTGCAGATGTCATATGCTTTATTGCCTGGCAAGTTCAGTGTTCAGGGACCTTAATTGTTTTTATCGGTTGGTAGGAGATGCGTAATTGGTCGTATATAATAATGCTGTAATTAGCATTAAAGACAAACTTTCATTTTTCCGCTAATTATAGTCATTAACTTCTAGAGTGCAGGAAAACAGAGTAGGACACAGCACAGTGGCAGCGAAATTGAAACGCGATCTGCGCCCAAAGCGGACATTACGGCTTCATACCTGCTCCTCCGACGCGTCTTATTTGCCTTCTTCTGTTCTAGCTTGGATTAACCCTTCTGCAAATATCACCTTGGTAAGATAACTGAGATAAGTCGACACATCAACATAAATTGATTACATAGAGTTCCAAATACTCGTATTAACAGGGTAGGATACCTGAGCTAAAGAGGGAACATCATGCGAAATGATAATGATTTCAGAGAAATGAGCTTCAAAGCGAAATAAATCAGACATTATTCCTTGGTGATGGTGGTCGAAAGTTAGAATTTGAAGTATAAATTTCAACTCTTTGAATGATCTACAGAAAAAATAATAATTATTGTTGTTGATAATGCTGTGGGCACCATAAACTTAGTAGAGCCTATGAGCTCAACGAGATGTAGAGTCTTCGTTAAATCTTTTCTAAAATTAAGAATATCTGTTGGAATATATCAAATTAAAGAAATTAAATCAAATTTCCTTCAATCACGGCAGAAACATGATTTACGCAAGACAAAGAATTTGGCCAACCATTTTCCTGTGGAATCAGATGTTGCATTGGCAGCTAGTCCTTGCATCAGTTGCGATTTGCATCTGTCCTGAATCTAGCGGCGGACTAACTCGACTGCCTCTCATCATCCATTGGACTTTGAATGGAAAATTTCAGAGTCCATTTGCCAGCCGACGAGACTTTTTCGATGCAAGCTTGTGCAACCTGATTGTGATATTTGAAGCCCAATGCCGATGCAATCCCGCGAGACGAGGCGGCTGCTCAGCCAGGAAAATTTTTTGACATCAGAATTGTAGCAATCTTGCAGGTTTTTCATTCGGTATGGCCGTCCAGTTAGAGATTGTAAATCCCTCCGACATCACTTCACTGAGACTGGATCATAAAATGGAAGTTTCTTTCTAAGAATCTAGTCGTCAGCAAGTCTTATATCAATAATTCTTATTCCATTCGAATTTGTTAACAATTATTAGTACCACGGAGTATTGAAGCATTTAAATAAAAGAGTAGAGCTAGCAATAAGAAATCATTCATTTGTCTTCACATCTAAAGCTTACAGAGGAATTGATTATAATTCGTGACGTGACAAAAAGGCGCGCGAAGAAAAATAAGGTACGTATTAAAGTGTTGAAAAATTGCATGCATAGACGGTTAATATTCGTAGTGTAAATTTCCACTCAATCGTGTGTATCTTCATTTTCTTTGAGACATTTTTCTTCTAAGAAACGCCCCTAAGTAAATATTACACGAGAAAACCCATTCGTAATTACATCGACTCGACTCGAAACCTGTCTTCAATTGCAGCTTGCATGCAGAAGCAATCCATCAGCATTTTCATAGCCATCAATGAAAGGATCAAAAATTCAAGCACGTCTCGAGCGCAGCCATATAACCTAACAGCTGTTGCGCAAAACTCGTCCAGTATTCATGAGCCTGACGATCCCCCGTTGTTCTCAAGCCCCGAGCACCAAAACAAATACCTGTCACGTCCAGGAAAATTCCGCTATGTCAGCCTGACGGATGACTGTATTAGTCTGCATTGTTCCTTTCACAAAAAGCGGTAACGTAGAGCCTCCAAAAGTGTGGAGAGAGCAGTGGAAGTTTTCAAACGAACGTTTCATGTCTCTTGGATTTATCGACGGGGATGTTGGCTTATTGAACAGAGTGAATAAGTGAGTCTAGCAACAAAATCGTTCACAAAAATAAAGATGTTTTGAATGAAGTGAAACCCGGCTGCGTTTGCATTGCATGAATTTAAGAAGTCAAGAAAAGTTTTATCGACATTGGAATCCTATCCTGAAAAATCGACTCCAATTCAGATGACAACTCATCGTCGCGAAGCAGCGCTTATCTTCTATAGGTGAGTTCATTTTTCGTGTTACAGAGAACTCGCTGTGTTCGTAAGGTCATTTACGATACGATGATTTAGATAAGGCAGCCATTTGTTTGGCAAGCCACGGCCGTTATCAGACATCGATTCCCAATATTTGTGATGGTTGTAAAAACCGCTCCAAATGTCCACTTTAATAGGAACCCATTTTCTTTGAATGGCAATGAGGCTTACACGAGTCGTTACTGAAGCTCGCCAAGGCTCACGGCTCTTTTTTTTTTGTTGTTGTTGATTCATCGAATAGAAATACTGTCAAGCGTCAAGAAGTTCACCTGAAAAAGCTGAGAGTCAGAGTTTGATTGATATAATATGAAATGACATTTCGAAAATTTTCAAATCCATAAATAAACGTAAACATGACATAACTATATACAAGATAATAGTTTTTGGGCTGAGAAAGCAGAAAATGTTCATGTCATTCTCAAATCCGATGCGCAGTCTCATCTACTTTAGTGCAATCATCAAAGTTAAATTATATTTGAATGAAAACTCTCCAAGATTTGTCCATTTCGAATAATTTAATAGTAAAAGACGTTCAACCATATTCAGTCGATTGGCTATCAAATGTTTCCACTAGATTTGCATGCTTGAGATTCACATATTTTTTTCGCCATAACAGTAGATTTTGATCTTCCTGTTAAGCTTCATCGAGAAAGAGTCAGCGGAGTTGAAGAGTTCAAACTGCGCCAGAGATGACACCGATTCCTCCAGGCAACTTTCTGCTCGATTTCTCGCCTTGTCTGCCGGATTTTGTAAGGAGAGAAGACAAGAACGGAGGGCTTGGTCCTTCAAGAGGATTATTTGCCGGTCCACGAGCGACCTTAAAATTCGAGACTCTGCGCAGACGTTGAAAGATGGTCGGTCCTGCACTACGCAGTCCTTACGAAGATCATGAAAGAAGACAGCTCTTTAGCTGAAAGGTACGAGGCCTGTCGCTGTAAACCCTTCAACGCTGAAAAATGTCGGATCTCTTATATTGCAGTTTTTCCAAACCAAGCCCAAAATTGGATGAACGGAGAAGTTAGTAGTCAAGTTAAATGCGAATTTCCTGAATGCGAGACCCCGATCTTTTTGATCTGTGTTGTGTTTTTTACAAAGTGCGGAAGCTATACTACTAATAATTTTACTAATTTGTTTTGCCAGTTTAACACGTTGACTACGTATTGGTACATATGCGTACCACGAAATGTATTTCTCCAGGAGGTAGTGGTACATAATTCAGGTTACCTAAAATCAGCCAAATCCGAGAACAAAAAAGACCAAAAAAAGCCGATAATTCAATGTACTAGTTTATTTGTAGGTTCCGCTAGAAAAATTCCATTTATTTTCTGTTTGCAGTATTTAAAATTTAATTAGGAAGTACCCCTATCATAAATTTTAGCCGGGCAACGCAATTGAGAAAAACTAAATCACGGAATTTGTCCGGAAAAATTACCGTCTGGCAACCCTGCTTAAAAAAAGTACAAAAAATGAAATAATTGTACAAGATGAAGCAATCGTAGTCAACGTGTTAACGTTCAAGTAACTTCAAAAAGGCTCAGTTTTCTCCCTTATTAAGTTTTTTTCTGGCTGGAACAATGGAACTGCTACTTCCGAGCTTCCGTTCGTAAGTTCTCTAACAAAGCTTCCCAGTTAATGGGACTCTCAAACATTTTTCGATTCAAAGAGAAAAAAACCGCCTACTTCCCTGCCGAGGTGTCATTTGTTTTCCAATAATGAGGGTGTTTCTTCAAAGCTCGTCTGAAAGCTTTGGGATTTACACAACCTTTGCGCACGCTAATATCCAAGCATTATTTTATCGCAGACCTGACTGCATATATCCTAAACATTTGCTTACTATAATAACCGCTCTGTAGACTAATGGTTCTTTATACACTAGATCGAGTTACCCCAACTAGCTGAGCGGTAAAACTGGACTCATTTTTATTCCTTGGAGTGTTTTGTCTTCAGATTATTATCCGATAAATATTAGTAATGGAACTCGTCTATAGAACGGTTCCAAGTGTTCTCTTCGAGTTCATCATGTCTTACTCTGAATAAAATGTTAATGTAAAATACATTCTTGCATGAACTATAAACTCGAACAATCCCGATTTTGAACCGCGTTAAATCTTCAGCATTAACGAGAATGCTCACTGAAATTCAGTTCCAGCTGAGATGGACCTCCATTTTCTTCAAATGATGTTTGATGCTAATACAGGCCACGATTTTAAGTGCAGTTATCTCAGCTGATTGATCTACCGAACGATTGATCATCAGAAGTGAACATGGACCAGCTGCAATGCGATAGATCGGCTGCAGTACGATTGATCAGCTGCTAATCGTATTAATTAAAGCCTATCCTGATGATTAGCTGACTTGTCGGAAGGAATAGCATTGCAACGTGTATTCAGTGTAAGCTCGTACCGAGCTCCCAACCCACGTCGCATTTGCTTCCTAGAGCTAAACTACGGTTTGATTAACAGTGGTCACTGTTGGTTGGCCGACCCCAATTTTCCCAAAATTTCCAGCAGCTTTTCTCATTAAAATATCGAATAGTCGAGCGCGGCGCGCTTGTGTTGCCTCATTGCCAGGCATTCAACGCAGAGATTAGTTTAGCCGTAACTTGTGACTTACTATTAACTCCACTGCATAAAGTACCCTACTCCCTAGTGATACTTGGAAAAAACTTTCACGCTGGTAAAATGGTAAACTTTCACGCTTTAAATGGATAATAATATTATTTGCAGGTCAGAAAGTTATTAGCCGCACTACACACCTGCAGACAGCCAGTCTGCCAGTAATCAGCCATCTCACGCTACTGTCAGCCAGCCAGCCTGTCAGTAATCAGCCACCTCACGCTACTGTCAGCCGGCCAGCCTGTCAGTCATCAGCCACCTCTCACTGCTGTCAGCCAGCCAGCCAGCCTGTCAGTCATCAGCCACCTCACACTGCTGTCAGCCAGCCTGTCAGTCATCAGCCACCTCACGCTACTGTCAGCCAGCCAGCCTGTCAGTCATCAGCCACCTCACACTGCTGTCAGCCAGCCAGCCTGTCAGTCATCAGCCACCTCATGCTACTGTCAGCCAGCCAGCCAGCCTGTCAGTCATCTGCCACCTCACGCTGCTGTCAGCCAGCCAGACAGCCTGTCAGTCATCAGCCACCTCATGCTACTGTCAGCCAGCCAGCCTGCCAGTCATCAGCCACCTCACGCTGCTGTCAGCCAGCCAGCCTGTCAGTCATCAGCCACCTCACGCTGCTGTCAGCCAGCCAGACAGCCTGTCAGTCATCAGCCACCTCATGCTACTGTAGCCAGCCAGCCTGTCAGTCATCAGCCACCTCACGCTGCTGTCAGCCAGCCAGCCTGTCAGTCATCAGCCACCTCACACTACTCTCAGCCAGCCAGCCAGCCTGTCAGTCATCAGCCACCTCATGCTACTTTCAGCCAGCCAGCCTGCCATCTATCAGTCACCTCTTATTGCTGTCAGCCATCCAGCCTGCTAGTTATCAGCCACCTCACGCTGCTGTCAGCCAGCCTGTCAGCCAGTCATCAGCCACCTCACGCTGCTGTCAGCCAGTCAGCCAGCCAGTTATCAGCCACTTCACGCTGCTGTCAGCCAGCCAGCCAGCCAGTCATCAGCCACCTCACGCTGCTGTCAGCCAGCCAGCCTGTCAGTCATCAGCCACCTCACACTGCTGTCAGCCAGCCAGCCTGTCAGTCATCAGCCACTTCAGGCTCCAGTCAGCCAGTCGTGCGAGGCGGAGCTAAGCTTGTACTGCTCAATGCGCATCGTGACTTTAAGCCGTACGATTATACGACGCCCATATAATCCACGATTATAGTAGTGCAGCATTGATGGTGAGTTAACTTGAGGTCAAAACTCTTACGCTGACATTTTGTGTGAGTTTTAGTACAGTTTTACGATGAAGCTCGAATTCCGCGCTTGCGTTCGGTAAAATTATTTGGAAAATTTAACGTGAATGGAAGGCGGATTTATGATTTGTCAATTATTTACAAGAATTTGAACGCCGCTTATGTCGCCATAATGCCAAGTCTTTGCTAGTAAAATCGACGTTGTTATACTAGCAGCTGCGAAATGAGTTAACTTTTATTACATTCTCAGTCTTTATTCCTGTGATCGTAAGTTCTCCGATGATCGTAAAATTGACCCCAAGAATGTACATAATAATAGGATTGGGGATCGATTGGTTCTTTAACGATGCCTTTGCATGTATGAACACAATTGCGGTGAACGCTACCCATAATCCTTACATGAATGGTCTCACCGTTACCATTGTTTATTTCCACAGTAAAAACATTAAAAAGTACGGCGTCATGTTTTTTCTAGATTTCACAATTTTGAACTCTGCTACTCACAAACTTTAATCAGTAATTTAAGAATTCTGATAGACTATTCTTTTTCTGGCAAACTCCATCACGATTAAATAACAGAAATTCAACTGCTCTTGCATAACTTGTACGTAATCGTGTATTGTCTTTTCTAGTGTGATTGATTTGTAAAAGTATTCCAATGGTTCAACTTCCTGCATAGCATCTAAAACAGATTGTACAATAAACTCGTGATCTGCTCCATAAAACGTATTTGAAAGTGTTTAATAAACGATTGAACTACTCGTACTAATTCCAAAAAAATTATACTTTTAATTTTTTAACAAACAAGTCTCCTACTTATATTGAACGTTTTAATTAGTTAACGATAGATCTACCTTCAACATAAACGAACATGAAGAGTCTAACAAACTATTCGATTTCTGCACTGAAAAGCATGCATATGCATCCTGTATTTCTTTTAGGATGTCTATTTATGTTATCACAACGTCCGGCGCTTGCTACCGACTTCGATGCATTGAGCATCACTGTTGTTGCTCCGATGAGCAAAAGAAATAACTTGATACTGTATAAAATTAACTCGTATTTGAAGTACCACTTAATATTATTGCAGTTGTCCCGTGACAGACAGACGTTTCAATCTATTCATTATAATTATATTCGAAGATTAGATCATCTGTAATTGAGATGTAATGTTCACTAGACGTGGTAGAGATTGATGGAAAAGTATTAGACCTGAGTCAGCATGGACCACATCACGCACTCAAGACCTCAGTAGTGGGCGGAAGCCGTGATTCTATAAAATGGCTGCTGGGCATATTATTAAAGTCCCCATTAACTGACAGTACTTCATGAAAGTACTTCATTTTTGGATGCGGTTGACTCATCAAAGTGGGTCATCCAGACCCGCCCATTTCTCTCAGTGCACCATGAACTCGCGTTAGAGTAACTCCGACCTAACGGCCGACATCTTAGCCGTATACCACTTATATAACTCTCTTCTATCCTTCCCGTAACAAGATAAGTTCTTTATAAAGGAGTGTCTTACTTATCCCTCACGCACTTAGTCGTGCAATCAATCCCTTTCCTAGAAATATATAATCAGTCAGGTTGCGCCTTCCATCACCGCCCGACATAGTTCGATATCATCACTAGCCTATCGTAACAGTAGCTAGCATCCATATGAACTTTAGGGAAATGAGTGAGTCATCTGACATTTCAGTTTTTTAATTAGAGACTGAATTGCTTGTCTAAAAATGAATGCATTTATTTTAATTAACGTGCAACGTTGATGACAGCCCAAACAGGGTCGATGATTCTTGCAAATAAGTTGCCTTGACCCACTTACTCTTCCGAGTGTAGGATTATTTCATATTATTAATAAAGAAATTAGCTTATTTATAGACGGCTGATCCATTTTAATAGTTTCAAGAAGCCTCACAATGTTAAAAAGGGTTGACTTGAATGTACTTTGTCAAACAAAGTACATTCCTATTTTTTTTCCCATTCGGGGCCAATTCCATTGCATTTAATTATCAGATTTCTTCCTTATAATTTGAGTAAAGTCAATATTATGATCACTATTAATATCCATCAATTTTTGTGTGAGTTTTTCGCCTATGAATACTGTGACCTACAACGAAGTGCTGCGCTTGACAGAGCAACATGGCCCCGGGTATCAATTAGTGTATAGTGCAAGTGATCAACGATCCAGCCAAACATATGAATGCCTGACACTTGACTTGGTTTTAAATTCAAGGCCAATTTTGTTGGAATCGAGGTACTTTGATTTTAAAGCAGAGCATTTCCCATTTGAAACCATTGTTACGTCTCGCATTGATTATTGCAAGTTAATAAGGTGCCTCAGGTTTTTTTTTATTTCAAATATCTTTACAGTATTTTTGCAGCACAATGAATAATCGAAAATATTATTTCACAATTAATTTTTCTTTTCTAGTGATAAATTGAAATTTATCGAAATATTCTCTCGCTTCAAGAAGAAAATACGAAATCAATATGACCATTTGCTATGCATTTCCAAGTTTCCATGCATTATACGCTCCTTATCTCGACGAGGTTATTTTTCTCTAATTATATAATAACATACAGTTTTCTTTATTAAAGACAATACATCGCGTGGCAGTCAATGGATGACCTAATAAATATAATAATAAATATAAACAATACGAAAAGTATAGTAAGCAAATAAATAAATGCGCTAAGAAGATAATAGATAATGTAATTATCTGCATAACCAGATTTGAAATATAAAACTGCATGCGTAATCTGGATTCTATAATTAGCGCAGAGAAAAACTTTTATTATTTATTTATTTATTTTTTGCGATAAATTTAGTTTTATCGTAAACAATTCCGTCAGGCACACCAACGAGACGAAGTTTTATTTATAGTATCAATTTTTCAATCTATTAATTTAATCAGCATCACTAATAACGGGAAGCTATCATCTATTTAATTGAGGCTAATGACCGCATCATCTGGGCGATCCTCTAATGTGATTAAGAACATTAATTAAAAATTTGTTCTTGATCAGAAGGTAAATAATCGACTCTTGTGTGATATAAATTGGTTATAATGAATTTATTATATAGGCTGGTAGCACCTCTAGCCATGCTTGGCAAAATGTTGCAGCGTTACTGCCTCCCACGTCTGGCAATAAACTTTTGAAGTGCCGTTATTTTGGTGATTTTTTCACGGTGCGAAAATGACTGTAATCTAGAAAACGCAAAAAATGTCTTCAAAAAGCGGATAGTTTATTTAAAAAAAATGCAGGTGCCCTGAAGAGGCGATGGTTTATGGCTTTAAAAATCTGGAACGAAGAAATTCTCAATTCACATGAAAAAATCTCTGGTAAATGACGTTAGAAAAGCAGCGGCTAAAACGCTTGCGTGGGTTAAGAAAGAACGATGAACCTCTCCGAGAACTGTTCTCAATCGGGAAAATCAACACGCGATTTAATAGACAAACTTATTCAAAGAATTTCAACGAATTTCAAAAATGTGACGATAAGTGAAGTGTGTTCTGAATAGTTTTAATTAGACTGGAAAAATATTCACGTTACGTTGAAATGGAAATTTCCTACAAGAGATATTAGCCCCAGATTAAATTGCCGGGTAGAATTTTCATCAATCAAATCAACTGTAATTTAAATTGAGTTCTAAATAGATTATCATGACACCTTATCAGCCAGGTATGGATGATATAATTATATATATTATTTACTAATGAAAATTTCTCAACGCACAGGGCTCAAGCTTTAAAAACACACTAAACAAACAAGTTTCGTAAGCGTCCGTAGAGTTATTGTAACCTCAATGAAACGATCAATAATGTAGCATTCGTATATAGTTAAGTCTTCCAACAATATGTTCATCTCGAACAAAATCTATCTTCCGGGCTATCCAATATAATTTCACACCATACTACACACCAGGATAACCACATTATTATAAGTAGTTACAAATTAGTAACTCCGTCAGCCAATTACAGACGACTTTCCTAACTAAACCTACTGCATGGTGGGTTTAGTTAGACACTGTCCCACTTATTTCTCTCTGTGTACCGAGCACTTTCACCTTCGTGACATACTGGGCCCGGTTTATGGGTAGAAGCTTTCAGTGGCAAGAAGTCTGGGCTCGGCTCGTGATGATTGGAAGCTTCAGCGCGCTAAGGATAATCCCGTAGCCAAACTTGCTAGCGCTTCACTGCGTACTTATGATGACTTTTACAGCCGTCTAGCACGAAACTTCCCAACGATCCTCGTAAACAATGACTACCTCACAACAAATCAGCCATTTACTATCCGGCTTTACTTTTACTAGCATTTCATAGTTAATTAATGAAGTAAGATAATTTAAACATTGTAAAAACATTTCATTTTAGAGAATAAATAGCGCTGGTGGCTTCTCGTTTCGCTCGTTTCGAGGAAAGAAGCATTTCTATTTATGATTTTCAAGGATTACACAAATACTGATCTAAAAGTACCTCGTTTCTTGGTTCCATCCTGGACGAAGTTGGGTGACTTCGTCCATAAATTCAAGAGTTCATTACCGTTCGTTGTGCTGCCCTAGAAGGCCGTAGGAATATAATGCGTGTCTGTGCTTTCGCGCTGAGATTTTCTTACGTCATTTTAACTCCAGTGTACACTGCCTTTTCTACCTGCAGCTCTTCCATTCACTGTAAGCTGCTCCTTCACAATCAAAGTACGAATGTTTTGAGAACATCGCGCTGAACTAAATGCTGAAGAGTGTTAATGTTTTAAAAATAAGGCAATCGAGCAATAGGATCAGATTCTACGATCAAAATTTTATTTAAATTTTATTATTCTACGATCAAACTTTGTATTCTATGATCAGAATTTTAATAACATTTCATTGTTCTACGATCAAAATTTTGATTCTACGATCAAAATTTTAATAAAAAAAATAAAAAAGAACGTCTGAGTAGTATCCCAATAACG